AAAAAAAAAAAAAAAAGTTTTTTAAACTTTACTGATATATCAATTCTTTCAGATTTTGTATTTAGAAAATCTATTTATAAAATTAGTTTCTAAAACTTGATGTTTCTGTGGTAAACAACGAAAAAGGTAACAAGAAAAAAAGAACAGAAGAGGATAATGAAGACCTGAAACTTAAAATTATTTGTCGATTTAAAACCGGTCTGCAAGCGTAAATTAAGCAACAACTTTTAATTAAATTTAAGCAAGTTTTAGAAAAAAGAAAAACTCAGCAAAATTTTGCGTAAATGTATAAAAAACCATACACTAGATCTTCTTAGACAATAATATCAGCAAAAATAAACAAAATATGTACAGTATAGATTGAGATACAACAGCATTTTATCTATTTTGATCAGTTCCTTACGCCTATGTAAACTGCTCGTCACTATCTAACTGTAAGCTTCAACCAGAGAACACTATTGCATAATTAACTGAAACATAACGGTAGAGCAAAAATTAAAGTGAAAAACAGTATGACACAAGCCATTTGTAACTCTGTCCCCGGAAACAGCAATACTGATGACGTCTGCAGAAAAGTAATTGACAATTTTGCATTTGGACTGACAGGTATTGTAGAAGAAAAAAATTCAGAAAAGAACCGGTTCAACCACGCATTACGAATTCTTGAAGAGGAAAGACAAGTTAACAGATAGACAAAAACAAATCTTCCTAATAACATGACATTGTCTCTTAAAAAAGAAATCCAAAAAGAGAGAAATACAAAACAAAAAAAAAATTTGAAGAAGAGCTTTGCACTTAGTTGTTTCTTCACTAATTTTCTCTCCTCTTTCCTTTTTTTTCAATTTGTAATATAACTGTTCTAGTTGTCTTTTCATTTTTCCTTTTTGACTTCTCATTCTTCTTCACAAATCTTTTGTTCACTTCATACAAACCAAATTTTACAAAGCGCAGAAAAAATTTTCTTTTCTACATATTCGTCTGAAATTACAAACAAACAAAAATTTGACACAAAAACACACACAGCACCTCAACCTACTGAAACATATCTATACAGTTCTTTAAACAATACGCTTTCAGCCATATATGTATATATATATATTTATTTATTTATATTTATAATTATATTTATATTAATTTATCGATAGTAAACACTGCTTTGTTATTACCTTCTCAGCGGTGCATTAATTTGTGACATTATCGGAGACGTGAAAATACTTGTTTTTGTCTTTTACCGTCTTTTCAC